AGCTAGAACAAATAAGTCTTGAGGTGTTAGTTGTTGAAAATATGTTGACAAATCTAGGTATCCTATTAAATTTAATTTCTTGTTGCAACTTTATATTTAATCATGGATATTCTGCTGATGTGACTAACCCATCAGGGGAATTCTCTAAACATCACCATCCACTTAGTTTTCCTTTTGACTTTCACCATCCACTTAGTTGGTTTCTATTATATTTTTCATCCTAATTCCTTAGTGTTTGTTCTTTTGTGATGGTTAAGGTTTCAATCTTGATTTCTTCTTTTTTGTAATTAGCAATAAGAAAGACTATTTTGCATATTTTCCGGGTTTAGTTACAAATTTTGTTTATATGCTGATCGAGCACAATCTCGCCTTTTCTTTCCTTATTTATGATAAAGAAGTTAAAGTGTTTGGTAAGATTAGGTAAAGTTTGAGATTAGTTTTCTGGTGAACCATGACTTCCTCTTTGATTCCTTCCTTTCCTTTTGTTGTTTTTGACCCTTTAAGTCAGTTTTTATTATATTATTCATCTAAAAGTTTCTTTGTGTTTGTTGTTTTGTAATGATTGAGGTTTCTCAACCAATATGAGTGCATTAGATTTTTATATTACTTCCATATGTAATTAGTTAATTACTGAGTTGGTTTTTTGTTTGTTTAATGGTGATTAAATAGAAAGTGTCCTTCTCTTTCTTTATACTTGAGAGAAGTCTTTAGAAAGATTAGATAAAGTTTGAGAATAGTTTTGTGGTGAACCTTTAAAATGAAATATAGGAAAATGTTCTCTTTTTATTGTTATACCTTTTTTTTTTTTTCTAGTTTTTTTGTATTGATTTCCTATTTGATTTGTCCTTTTCTTTTTGTAGTTTATCTAATTTAGGAAATCAAATTACTTACTTATTTTTTTTAAATTGAGTAATTATAGTCTTTAATTAGTCTAATTATTAATTAAATATAATTCATAGTTACAATTATTATTATTTTTATTAATTTAAAAATTAAAAGCACTTAACTAAATTATATTTGCAAAAACTGTTTCTAAACATATTAATGCTACAATAACTTGAAGCACATTAATGGTAATAATAACCACAAACCTCAAACTTTCCTTATTGGGTTTGTAGAATGACTAATGACCCAATAACATATATACTTTTTATTCAGCCCTCATACTAGTAATAAAAATAATAAAATAAGCAAGAAAGATTAAATCTTATATAGGCAAGGATTGCGGACCAAATCAATAATGTTTTAAAATTTTTTTTAAGTGCTGGTACATGTAACTTATTTATTTTTAAATTTAATTTAAGATAGTCTTTTATTATTATTATTTTTTTTTGGTAAAAAGAGAGATAGCATAGATATTTAAAGTGCTACAGTAGTCCTGGGAAACTTATTCCCAATAATATTCGAATACAAAATTTAAGATAGTCTTTACTACACTATGTTGTTGCAAGTAATTAAATATATTTATTAAAGATAGATTGGAAGTATATTAAAGATTGTGAAAATCTTTCGATGTGAAGAAGTAAAAGAGGGAAAAAAATACAAAAAAATTTCGGAGTAACTCAAACTCTTGTTACTCCGAAACTGTAATGGATATTTTTTAATTGTTCCCTTGAAATAACTTGTTTTTAATAAATTTATATGAAAAAATATAAAAGCAAGCATTAATTTTAATGTTAAGGGTATATAAAACAAGTTAATTAGATAGTTAATAAATTAAAATTTTTTTCTTAATTTTTTCAAGATTGGTGCTCTTGCTTCCTATGTTAACAATATATAATATCAAATCTATAATTAATTGTTAAGATTACAGTAATCATAAATTATAACAATTGAATTACTTTTGTACATTTGTTATGGTGAAAAAATTTTTCTTTTAACTATTAATAATTAAAATAACAATTATCCACCATATTAATTCAAAATTTTAAACTGTCATAAAGTAAATATGAATTCTACATGCCTAGTAGATCAAATAAACTTGGTTAACGTGGAGGTTATATAAGATCAATTTTAGACATTAAATATTATTTCTTAAACAATCATTCCTATCATACATCGGAGATCGTGTCAAAAGAAAACCATGTCTTCTTTAATGTTCCCGGACTGTCACTTCAATAAATAATAAATTACAAAACATGAAAATAAGCAAGTGAGATTTGTTTTAATGTTTGTTCCCTTTCATTCACTTTATTATATTCCAAAGTTTATTTATTAATGCTCCGAAATCAGGTCCCAATATTTTCAAAAACTTGAATAGTTAATATTTATATTCAATATGAATTACTTTTATATTAAAATTAAAGTTTAATTAGTTTGTTAAAGTTGATTTCAGTATTATGTTTAATATAATACAAACTACAAAATAAGTTCAATTAATTATTATTATATTTATGAAATATTTTGATATTTAATTATATATTTTTTACAATTTCATTATATAGTTTGTTACAAAATACTTATTTACTCTTTTTAAATTGAGTAATAATAATTGTAAATTATTTAAATTATCAATTAACAAATAAAGCTTAGTTATTAAAATACGAGAAAAATGTGATTTTATTTTATTTTATTTTTTGGACCACTGGAATTGGGGTTGGCAATAATAGGTGTGCAGCCAATGGCCCTATTCCTATATAGATAAAATTAAAGTATGGAAAAAAATGAGAGAAAAATAAATTACAAATATAAACTGGTTTATTATTAATTATAAAAATTTGTAAAATAACAATTGTTTATATAAATATATATCTATATTTAGCAAACTTACTTAAAAAAATGTAATATTATATACTAACAACATATAATATAAAATCTATTACTATTATCCTTATGTTAATCATATATTACAAATTATAGCTTTTTTTTTACCTATATTTTAGTCAATAAATTATTTTATAACTTTTTTCATATTAAAATTATAGTTACTTACCACATTAATTCAAAATTTTAAACTAAAAATATTTTAATGCAAGTTACACAAAATCAACTTTTCATACATCCAACCATTATACACATGATTAGTAACTCTTAATATCTTGATGAATATACATAATTATCATTATAACTGTAGATATATCAATTTTTTTTTATGTTAAATAGTATACCTAATGCAAGATAAATGACCTAGTATCTTAAAGATAGTTTGATAAGGAAACCATGCACGATCTTGACCATTATAAATTCAGTTTTGAGAGCATTGCGTTAAAGAACTCAATAATAAATGTGGAGTGCCAATTCTTATCTCAATATTTATTCCTGATGGTAAAAAGATTTGGAAAGTAAGATATGGTAGGATTTTACAGCTTTCATTAAGTCTCAATATCGCACGTACATCCATTACCTACTTTCCAAAAAAAAATATGGCACGTACATGTACAAATTAATGCTCCGCACACGTTTTTATTTTTGTTGTGTCAAATATTTAAATATGAAGGTAATAAATTATAATATATATTAAAGATAAACATTTAAACTTATAAATAATAAGTTATCTTAAAATTATAAGCAATAAAAATTTTATTTTTTAATTTTCATTAAGATTTAATTAATTTTTTAAAGTAGATTTCAGTATTATATTTAATATAATACAAACTACAAAAAAAAAAAGATTAGTTATTCCTATATTTATGTTTTAATTTGATATTTAACTATATTTTTTTCACAATTTAATCATTTATTTGTAATTAATCTTTCTTTTAGCATCTTAATTCCCTGAATATTATTCTGCCTTTATCTATATCTATTCCTTTGTATTATACTATTATCATTCGACCAAGTAATTAACACATTTATATGATATATGTTAAAATGGTAGTGGATAAGAATATTATACTTGCAAAACTATTATATTCAGTATTAACATATTGATACAGTAGCAAAATATGCCCAGATAGATTGGAATAACAGTAAATAGGCAATATAACTATTACATAAATTTCCCACTCCACAATCTTAGCACTTAATCTACTTTAATTAAATACATTAAGCGAAGAAAGTGGTAATGAACTTAGGGTTTTTTTTTTTTGATAATTGTAGCTGTGAATCCTATGATAAAAATAATAATAATAAAAAAAAAAGACTGACAATGTTCACACGTGAGCATTTCTTCTCAACTTTCCTCACCTTCTTCTCCAAAGCTCTTACCGTCCTACCCATAAATGCGCTTTCATCCTTCAATTGGACGTTTTCTTCTACTAGATTGAGGTTTTCGCGCATCAATTTGTTATTTTCATCACTGATTCATCCTTTTTCCTGCAAAAGCGCAGCCATTTCTTGCTTCAATTTGTCTTTCTCTTTAACAGCTTTTGATTCTCTTCCTTTTAAAATGAGGATGAGTTCCAAGGCACGACCCTGCATCCTTTGCTCACCAGGCATAAAATGGAAGTAGGGGCATGCATCCTGTTATGTAAAATATCAGTGTGCATATCACATATAACCATTGGGGAAAAAAAAAGACAAGAAACGGACTCCTCCATTACCTTTTTCTTTGGACAGCAGCGGAACCTCATGCCCATGTTTTGGACCGTAAAGGATGTTCGGATTGCCGGTGTGAGACCACAGCCACACTTATACTCAGCACATCTCTGATCATGAGATTCCGGCTTGCTTCCCCCATCAACAGAGTTGCTTGATGAAGCTGAACTCCTTGCAGGTGAATACTCCATATATGCTTAGAAAATATCGAACTGTGAAACAGTTGCAGTAAATGAAAAAGGACACAACGGAGTTCAGGGTTTCGTTTTCAAGGGATTCTTTGAGAACACCGGAGTTTGGGGGTTTCGTTTTGAAGGGATTCTTTCAGAAGGAAGGTTCTGGTTTGAAAGCGGTGACGCTTAGAAGGAAGTCAATTAAAAAACTCAGCATTTAAGAGGCGAGAGGCGAGATTAAAGGTTTTGTCCCAAAAATCAAAATAGAGGGGATATTAAAGTTGCCGTTTCTTTATATGTAGTACATTTATAATAAGTTATAAATGAAGTTTGAAATTTTCATAAAAATTTATGAGAAACATTTTTATGATTCGTTTATTGAAACTCTTTTCATTATAAATAAATTAAAGTAAATGTATGACTCAACCCCAACTTAATAGATATAACTTCTAAATTAAACAATATAATTGAATTGCAAATTAAATTTATAACCTATCAATAACTAATTTAATGTTTTCAATAAGAACCACTGTGAATATTGAATTATATAATTATGTAATGTTTGATATAAAAATAGAATCTAACTGCCACAAGGGAATCCATCTTTGCCACAACACGATCAATTCCAAGTGATTTGCATAACTTGAGTCCTTCTCCAAGACCCCATAATTCTACTAGAAAAATGGATGCACAGCCAACATTAACCGCAAAACCAGAGAGCCAATTCCCTAAGAAATCTCTAATTAGACCCCCTACACTTGCAGAATTGCTAGCAACATTGAAAGAGCCGTTTGAGCTTGTACAAGTTCAAGATTCCATTCCCTGTTTGAATTAATGGTCTCCGATACCAACAAAGAGGGGAGAGCAGGAGGTTAAAATTATATTAATCATATATTATAATAATTGAATTATTTTTATACATTTGTTATGGTGAATCGATGTGAATATTGAATTATAAAAGCATGTAATATTTGAAATAAAATAGAAAATTTAACACAGCCAACATTAACCACAATTCCAAGTGATAACTTGAGTCCTTCTGGAAGACCCCATAATTCTGCTAGAAAAATGGATGCACGGCCAACATTAACCACAAAACCAGAGATCTAATTCCCTAAGAAATCTCTAATTAGACCCCATGCACTTGCAGAATTGCTAGCAACATTAAAAGGGCCATCTCAGCTTGTACAAGTTGATAAGCAGAGTTGACGGTAAATAAACCATCCATTGAATTGGCCCAGAAAATGCCATCTTATAGCTGTGAATTCTGAGATAGTGGAATTGCTCTTATCTTCTCCACTGTCTCTGCTGGAACCAATTCATGCAAGAGTTCAAGATTTCATTCCCTGTTTGAATTAATGGTCTCCGATACCAGCAGAGGGGAGAGCACGAGGCTCATTGCAAGAGCTAATAAGTGGGGCATCCCCTACCCAAGCATCCTGCCAAAAATGCACCTTCTCTCCAAAGCCTTGAAATGGCTTAAATTGAACATTTGAAAAATCATCAATATTCACTTGCAATTATATTTATACTTTAAAGAAGTAAAAAAGTAGTCCTCGAAAAAAAAAAAAGAAGTAAAAAAATTTTTCACACACAGTGATCAAAATAGTTAGTAAGTGGAAACAGTTGAGAAGAGAGAAGAGAAAGAGTTAGTAAGTGGAAAAATCATCAATATTAACATTTTTATACTTCCTTCTATCTTCTCTATCCGCTTCATTTTTCCCATATTCTTCTTTTATCTGTATTACTCATAACTAAGGAGTGCTTTCACTTCTTCATGCCCTGACAACCAATTCACACTGTAATCATTTTATAATTTTTGGGGAAAAAATTTAAATTACAAAATAGTTAAATGTGTATAAGGCATTTCATATCATTATCTACTAATCCATCCATCATAATACAATCAATTTGGATGACAATTCATGCACTCTCCATATTCATGCCTTAAGTAAAAGTGGCCCACGTAAGCTTGCCAGCCATGAAATGAGCAATTAACAAAATCCAAAATAACGTGGCCCAATGAAAATGGAAGTATTGGTTGGAGAGTGCAATTGGCAAGTGTCCCTACAGTTGGTTTGCAAGTTATGGGGTAAAAATTAAAATATTGCGATGACTCCACAGTTAAAACACAAGAATTTTTTAAAGGGTTCTCTTTGGAGTGTTATTTTTCTTTCCCAAAACGCAAATCAAAATTGTCCCTCTCCCTCAACCTTCAACGCATCCGTAGTTCATCTTTCCATCCAAAGATACCAATTGCGAAATGAAAATGAGATCCATGGAGGAAATAATTGCCCATTTCCATCACACCATGAACTCCACTGAAATGACTCTTGTTCGGGCTCAGCTTGCAAATCTGGAAAGCATTCGCCGGTGATTTAGAGCTATATGGTTCACCGATGCCATACGCTTCGTTTAGTCAAAACATTTTCAGGAGGTAGCACTGGAGTTTTGGCTGCATGAAAATTGGTTAGTGTCGTTGGGATTGTTGGTAGAGGATGATAACCAGCTCCCAAGCATGAGCCTTCAGCTGCTCAGAGAACATGCTGCTGCGAATGAGCAATTGTTGAGGACGCCTTTCAAAGTGGTCAGAGATGAACATGGGATGAAAGTGATAAGTTTGTTCCTTCCGCGGTTATTTGGAAACATTGGAGTTGAAGCATCTCACTAGTTGAAATTGCGAGATGAGGAAGAGATATTCGCCCGTTGCTGCCTCATGCTATAGAAGTACATTCAGATCGCTAGCCAAGGGGAACTGTTATGGGAGGACTTAATAAGCAGTGAAAGTGTGGGCACACAACTTTTGGGGAAAAATGATAAGCTGAGGTACATAGTACCACCAAATGAGCTTTTCATAACCAAAATCCAAACACAACAAGATGTATGTGCAGTGCAACTGAATTGTGTTTGGTCTTCCACCGTACCAATGGAAGAGATGAATTTCGTTGTTGAGATTATAGGAACGGGGACAGTGGCTGAAGATTTGGTGATTGGGAGCTTTAAACCAGTATCTATTATCATATGGAATGTCAGAAACGCCCACAGAGATCATTTTGCAGATGCAGTAATGGACTTATGTGCTAGGATTTTGGCGGACGTTATTTTTCTGTTTAATACACGGCTCACCTCTGATGGTGCAGTGCAGGGGATCTTAGAGACACTCCCATATGACACACAGTATTCAACAACGGAACAAGATCTAAGAGGCGGATCAACTGTTATGTGGAACGGCAGTTAGGTAAATTTACTTTGTGGAGGATGGAAGTATGGAGGAGAAGTTGACAGCTGGGTTTTCGTTGTCAGTCAGCTTGAAGAAGGGACTTGGTCAAAAGGAAATGCACAAATTGCTGCACATTGCTTATGTATTGCTGCAACTACTTGTTTCTCTGTTTAGATTGTGCTAAATTTACCATAAGGTAGGTTTGTCAGTTAGTTTAGGTGTTTCCCTTAACTTCAGTACTAAGAATTAATGTTTAAATGGTTCTCTTGGGTACCTTGCTTCTTGTTGTAGTCCATCTTC